AGGAACTCAAGAGCTGGCCCGGAAGTCTCTGCCCCCGCATGCATGTTGAAGTCCCCCAAAAGCAGTAGCTTCGGGGAACCCAACAGTGCGGCGGAGACAAAGTCCACCAGCTCCGGTAGGGAAATGGCTGGGTCGCGGGGAGCACGGTAACCCAGCAAGATCCCAATACCATCCCTGGCCCCAGTCGACATGTGGAGAGCCTCAATACCCGGCTTTACCACCGAGGAGCGCCTAGCTACCTCCAGGATGGATTTATAGACAATGGCTACTCCCCCCCAACCCTCCAGTCTACCCTGGTGTTGGACGGCATAACCGGGCCAGAAACATGCAAGCTTTGAACATGCAGATTTTGGTTTCATTCCCATGGATAAGCGCTGCTATCTTTTTTGTGTTTTCTTCCTCCCCCCCCCCAAAAAAAGAGGGAGAGAGATAGCACGTGCACACAGAGGACATTGCATGCTGCATCTCTGTAAACTGTATGGTGGAGAGAGGGCTTCAATGAGCAGAGATGGAGGTCTTCTGAGGGAGAAATACTGTACTTGCATGCACAAAGGGAGAGAGGGATGAGTCTCTGGATCTGGACCAGTGATATTTCGTGTGTACAAAATGGGAAGGCTTCCTTCCATTTCCTGTTTTATTCTGCAGGGATAGGAATTATATGACACAGAGAAGAACCAATAGCTCTAGGGAGAGAATCCTAAGAAAAAGGGGAAAAAGACTAATAACTTAATGTAAATAAAACAAATTACAAAAGATAATATAATCAATTATACAATACGACAAAATAAAATAAAATACATCAGTGAGGAAACATGAGAAAACAAGACAGTGTCAGTCTTAATAATAATTAAAATAAAATGATTAAAAAATAATAGTAAAAAAATTAAAGAGCCACGATAGCTATCCCCCACATGTGTTCCAAAACTGAGTTTCTCCACCTTGTAGCCTTGTCCTTGATATCAATGGTGGCGCTAATTTATAGTCCTTGTTCATGGGGTGAAACTCACAGTTCTTGATTGTTAGTTCTGAGCCCACAATGTTATTCCCGGGCAAGGTCAGAAACACCAAAAGCCTAGATGGTGAAGGCTTAGTCCCTACCGTTCCCGGCCGTTGGGGATCGATTTGGGGAGCACCCTTGCTGGATGGCAAACAGCAAGTGGGGAGAAAGAGGACAGGAGAGAGAACCACCAACATGGCGCCGGCGCACTGGCACTCCGGCGTCCCACCAATCCTGCGGCTCCCTCCGGCTCCTGGAACAACGCTGTGCTCTCCTGGCTCTGGCCAGCTCCGATCTCCACTCTCCGTCCACCCGTCTGGGGATCCCGCCGGCCTCCAGTCACCTACCGTCCAGCCCCCCGCAAAGCAAACTCCACCAAAAATGTTCCCGAGGGCCGAGCATGTCAGTTATAAGTAATTTCGAGGTTAATATACTGTCATGTGAGGCTGCTTTTCTGGACTACTTGGAAAACTAAAATTAGTTGCCAATATGGCAGCTCCTAGATTACTAGGGCTGACCAGGCCTTCTCAGTTTTAAAATAACCTCTAGCAGTTTTCACTGGGAAAAAGCCATGTTGATGATTTTGGAATGGTTTTCCAATGTTTGCTCACTTGATGCTCAGTTGAATGACTTTGAATCATCAGGCTAACACTTTCTTGTTTGCTTGGGCTTTTAAGGGGGCAACAAAGGTATTGCTAAAATGTTAGTTTTCATATATTACTCATTTATATTTTACACAAACACACACACACACACACACGAGTAATATATGAAAACTAACATCTTAGCATGCATACACACACACATACATGCATACATACATACATACATACATACATACATACATACATACATACATACATACATATGCATATAGACATATATACACACATACACATACAGTGGTGCCTCGCTTAACGAGCGCCCCGTTTAACGACGAATCCGCATAGCGATTTTTTGCGATCACAAAAGCAATCGCTTTGCGATGATCGGTAAGCTGTTTTGCTTACCGATTTTCGCATAGCGATGTTTTAAAAGCAGCTGATCAGCGGTTCCAAAATAGCTGCCAGAAAAAATGGCCAACCACTGTGTTTTCGCGCCCATTCCTCGCATACCGGGCAGCGAAAATGGCGGCCTATGGAGGATTTTCACACAACGGTAAGTTTTTTGCCCATAGGAACACATTAAACAGGTTTTAATGCATTCCTATGGGCTTTTTCTTTTCGCATAGCGACGAATCTGGATAGCGACGATTTTTCTGGAATGGATTATCGTCGCTATGCAGGGCACCACTGTAGATATATACATACACACACACACACACACACACACATACACACATACATAAGTGTGTGTGTGTGCGCGTGCACGCACACACATTTATATGTGACTGCAGTCTAAGCAGTTGCACACAGCCACAGTTAGCCTGCATCTAACTTGGTCTGGCTCCAACTCTCAGTATTTGGGTAGTATCTTACTGTACTTTTCATTTTGTATTTTAATGCTGTTGATTATCTACTGTTATATTTGGACACTATTAGCTATTTTGGATGAATACATTAAACTAAAAGCAGGGTAAGCATTGTTTTTAATAACAAAATTAAGAACATGAAATCTGTTGGCAGAGTGGAACATTTAGTACTTAAGATCACCTTAAATTTTCTGTCCTTCAACCTCCTTCTCTGATGACTTATGTTGGCCATGTGGCCTTTCATTCCTTTTTAGCATTACAGAACACATAGACTTCGGCACTCCACTGCAAGAACCAGCCATGGAGCCTCTTTGCAATGCCAACTTACCTGCCAGTATGCATACCCTGGATCACCTCCAGGGAGTTGCCAATCGGGCCAGCCTTCATTATGTGGGAGAGAGTCAGCTGAAAGAGGTAGACTTCCATTGTCTTGTGGAATCATGATCACAACCTCAAATTGGATCCACTCTTTATCGTTCTTGGGAATCTGTAGTAAATGGACTGTTTCACCATCAATATCTTGCTAGCAGTTAAAAGAGAAACTTACTTTTTTCCCATGTATTTTATTGTATGGCCTGTGGAGGAGAATACTGCCAAATCTGAATTCAGATTTGGAGGCTGAAACTTGGTTGGTAGCCCCAGTTGAAATAGACCCATTGAATCATAACAGTTTACATAAGTGTTGATTTGCCATTCCATGACATACATATTCAAATTAGGAAAAGCAGTTGGAGTTAAGCCAGAATAATCATAGAATTATTAAATTGGAAAGGCCATCAAGTCTAGCACCCTGCTCAATATAGAAATCCAAATCAAAACATAGGACAAAAGATTGTCCAATTTTCTCTTGAGTGCCTTGAATCCTAATAATCATAGGAATTATAATACTCCATCAATACATTGTACAGATCTTTGCATGTGTTTAATTTTCCAAATTTATTTTATTTGCAAAATCAAAGTCTTAATGTTTTCTAGGAATGTTAATTTATTTTCAGGGAATAACTCTGTATTGGCAGGAAGGGAAGGGAAATGTACTTTGGTGTCTTCTAAACAGGCTCTGGCCATAAGGTTTATAAACTTTTCTGTACTGACATGAAAATTGTAAACTTGCCATTCTTTACAATTGAATTGTGACATTAAATAGGCTTGTGTACATCACAGGTCTAGAACTCATACATTGTCACCATATGGGGCAAATGCATCCCAACCTCTGAGTTCATTCTCTAGTGAGTGGATTGTTGCTGTATCTAGAACATAACAAAGCTTGGATATAAACATGGGACTCAGCTTGTCAAAATGGAAGGAACTGTGTCTTCAGAGGGGAGGATCTATTAAGATGCTATTGGACAAATTTGGCTGTTCTGTTTTTCTGAGCCATTATCTTCTTCCTTAGGTGTTGCAGAATCTTGGGAAAGACCACTATGCACCACAGTCACTAGAACAAGTTGGTACTCGAATAGCCAAAGTTCTGGAAAAAGTAAGTATATCCAGATGGCAGAAAGCAATCTTATATTGCCCCAATTTTAGCCAGATGATAGCTAGTGCTGTGGTTTGTAGTACTGTATCATAAATTGCTATACACACTAAGTTAGTATTGAAGGAAACATTATCTTCCCACTTCTTGTATAAAATAATCAACAGACACACTACAGATATAAGATCAAAACTATCTGGCATACAGTGTGTGAGATATTTCTAATGAGGCAAAATTAAAAAAGCAAGCCATCATAGCTAGTAAGGACCATAACATACAGATGCACACTGAATTTAAGAGGACCATTATTTTTTCTTATACAGTGGTGCCTCGCTTAACGACGATAATCCATTCCAGGAAAATCGCTATGTAGCGAAAACGTCATAAAGCGAAATTTAAAAACCCATTGAAATGCATTGAAAACTGTTCAGTTGTTCCAGTGGGTTAAAAACTCACGGTCCAGCAAAGATCCTCCATACAGCGGCCATTTTCAGTACCTTTATAGCGAGGAATCTGTCCCTAAGCACAACGGGGAGCCATATAATCACCCGGTGGCCATTTTGAAAACACGCCGATCAGCTGTTTTTGATCGTCTTAAAGCGAAAATCGGTTCCCGAAGCAGGGAACCGATAATCGCTAAAAAAATTACCCCATTTAGGCCATCGTTTTGCGATCACATAAACAAAATTCCCCCATTTAGGCCATCGTTTTGCGATCACAATTGCGATCGCAAAAACATCGTCGTAAAGCGGATTAATCGTAATGCGGGGCAATCGTTAAGCGGGACACGACTGTATACAATTTCATCACATTGGACACATTTGCTTCAGTGCTAGCCTTCCTACTGGCCAGGTTATACTGGTGTTTATGAGGAAGTACCAACCAGTAGAAAGATATAGAAAGACCTGAAGGGGCTGTTTTCAGAAGTTTCCAAATGAGAAATATAATGTACAGATGCACACTGAATTTTAGAAGGCTGTTCTTTTTCTTATGTAGAACTTACTATATATATATTAAAAACTTTTGAAAGTCATTGCTATTCTAGGAATTTCTCTTCATTATCCCATTACCACACAACATGAAGTGGCAAAATAAATGATGCTCTTAAAATGCGTACTCGTTCGTTCGTTCGTTTAGTCGTTTAGTCGTGTCCGACTCTTCGTGACCCCATGGACCAGAGCATGCCAGGCCCGCCTATCTTCCACTGCCTCCCGGAGTTGTGTCAAATTCATGTTGGTTGCCTCGCAGACACTGTCCAGCCATCTCATCCTCGGTCGTCCCCTTCTCCTCTTGCCCTCACACTTTCCTAACATCAAGGTCTTTTCCAAGGACTCTTTTCTTCTCATGAGATGGCCAAAGTACTGGAGCCTCAGCTTCAGGATCTGTCCTTCCAGTGAGCACTCAGGGTTGATTTCCTTTAGAACTGATAGGTTTGTTCTCCTTGCAGTCCAGGGGATTCTCAAGAGCCTCCTCCAGCACCACAATTCAAAGGCATCAATTCTTCGGCGGTCTGCTTTCTTTATGGTCCAGCTCTCACTTCCATACATCACTACAGGAAAAACCATAGCTTTGACTATTCGGACTTTTGTTGGCAATGTGATGTCTCTGCTTTTTAAGATGCTGTCAAGATTTGTCATCGCTTTCCTCCCAAGAAGAAGGCGTCTTTTAATTTCAGGGCTGCTGTCTCCATCTGCAGTGATCATGGAGCCCAGGAAGATAAAATTTGACACTGCCTCCATATCTTCCCCTTCTATTTCCCAGGAGGTGATGGGACCAGTGGCCATGATCTTAGTTTTTTTGATGTTGAGTTTCAGACCGTTTTTTGCACTCTCCTCTTTCACTCTCATTACAAGGTTCTTTAATTCCTCCTCACTTTCTGCCATCAGAGTGGTATCATCTGCATATCGGAGGGTGTTGATATTTCTTCCGGCAATCTTAATTCCAGCTTGGGTTTCTTCCAGTCCAGCCTTCCGCATGATGCATTCTGCATATAAGTTAAATAAGCTGGGGGACAATATACAGCCTTGCCGTACTCCTTTCCCAATTTTGAACCACTCAGTTGTTCCATGACCAGTTCTAACTGTTGCTTCCTGTCCCACATATAGGTTTCTCAGGAGACAGATAAAGTGGTCAGGCACTCCCATTTCTTTAAGAACTTGCCATAGTCTGCTGTGGTCCACACAGTCAAAGGCTTTCGCATAGTCAATGAAGCAGAAGTAGATATTTTTCTGGAACTCTCTGGCTTTCTCCATAATCCAGCGCAAGTTAGCAATTTGGTCTCGAGTTCCTCTGCCTCTTCGGAATCCAGCTTGTACTTCTGGGAGTTCTCGGTCCACATACTGCTGAAGCCTACCTTGCAGGATTTTGAGCATAACCTTGCTAGCGTGCGAAATGAGTGCAATTGTACGGTAGTTGGAGCATTCTTTGGCACTGCCTTTCTTTGGGATTGGGATGTAGACTGATCTTTTCCAATCCTCTGGCCACTGTTGAGTTTTCCAAACTTGCTGGCATATTGAATGTAGCACCTTAACAGCATCATCTTTCAAGATTTTAAATAGTTCAACTGGAATGCCATCACCTCCACTGGCCTTGTTGTTAGCCAGGCTTTCTAAGGCCCACTTGACTTCGCTCTCCAGGATGTCTGGCTCAAGGTCAGCAACTACATTGTCTGGGTTGTCCGGGATATCCACATCTTTCTGATATAATTCCTCTGTGTATTCTTGCCACCTCTTCTTGACGTCTTCTGCTTCTGTTAGGTCCTTCCCATTTTTGTCTTTTATCATGTTCATCTTTGCGCAAAATGTTCCTCTAATATCTCCAATTTTCCTGAAGAGCTCTCTGGTCTTTCCTTTTCTGTTATCTTCCTCTATTTCTTTGCATTGTTCATTTAAGAAGGCCCTCTTGTCTCTCCTTGCTATTCTTTGGAAGTCTGCATTCAAGTTTCTGTAACTTTCCCTATCTCCCTTGCATTTTGTTTCCCTTCTCCTCTCTGCTATTTCTAAGGCCTCGTTGGACAGCCACTTTGCTTTCTTGCATTTCCTTTTCTTTGGGATGGTTTTCGTTGCTGCCTCCTGGACAATGTTACGAGCCTCTATCCAAAGTTCTTCAGGCACTCTGTCCACCAAATCTAGTTCCTTAAATCTGTTCTTTACTTCCACTGTGTATTCATAAGGGATTTGGTTTAGATTATACCTGAGTGGCCCAGTGGTTTTTCCTAATCTCTTCAGTCTAAGCTTGAATTTTGCTATGAGAAGCTGATGATCAGAACCGCAGTCAGCTCCAGGTCTTGTTTTTGCTCACTGTATAGAGCTTCTCCATCTTTGGCTGCAGAGAATATAATCAATCTGATTTCGATATTGCCCATCTGGTGATTTCCATGTATAGAGTCGCCTCTTGTGTTGTTGGAAAAGAGTGTTTGTGATGACCAGCTTATTCTCTTGACAAAACTCTATTAGCCTTTGTCCTGCTTCGTTCTGAACTCCAAGGCCAAACTTCCCTGTTGTTCCTTTTATCTCTTGGCTCCCTACTTTAGCATTCCAGTCCCCTAGAATGAGAAGAACATATTTCGTACTACAGGCTGAATAAGATCTGCATGCCTTCCTCCTAAGGTTTAGCAGGTAAAACATTGATCCCAAGTGGATTCCAGTGAGAAGTTTGTTCCATTGAGAAAAACACAGTAGATATTATTCTAAAGTTAGGATGAGTAGAAGGTGGATCAGGATCTCCTGGATCTCTGGGTTATTTGTTGTAAACCAGCAATGATTTCATATTCTCAGTTGTCTAAAAATATAAACTAAACACAGAGACACATTGTTTTGTTGCAGGGGGAAAAGAGGAAAAAAGGGAGTGGTTTTTAGCACTGGAAGAATATGTTTGGTTCTGGTACTGGTCACTGGAATTCCTGGGCTAAGCATGTCCTGATAGAAATGTTGTTCCTTAATTTACAGCATAGACCTACTTGCCTCGTTCATTATTTTGTACCTTTTGCTGATGGATCTTATTATTCTAGTAAAGAACAAAGTAGACCTCACAGTTCTGAAGTCTGTTGATTCCTGATCTAAAACATGTATTCCACGAAGAGCAGCCCATAAAAGCCATTACCATACAGGTGTCAGATTGGTTTATCTTTAATGACAGTTCATAATACAATACATTTCTTGAATTGTTCCCTTTTCGATATCTTTGTATCGGACTGATTCTATAGCATGCAGAGGAGGAGGATGCACCTCTGGGATGGAACACTTGCTTTGTATGCCAAAGATTCCCAGTTTAATTCCCTTTCAGGTAGAATTAGGAAAGACTTCTGTATAAAACTCTGGAGAGCTACTGCTAGTCAGTGTAGATAATCACGGATTAGATTGATCAACTGTAAGACATCTACCTATGTTCCATAGAAGTGTTATTTTATTTTTACTCAAGCAGGATTCAACAACTGACTATTCAGAAAGGGGTTTTAAAGAATTGATATTGTTGTTGTTTACTCATTAAGTTGTTTCTGACTCTTCGTGACCCCATGGAGCAGAGCATGCCAGGCCCTCGTGTCTTCCACTGCCACCCGGAGTTTGGTCAAATTCATGTTAGTAGCTTCAATGACACTGTCCAACCATCTCATCCTCTGCCGTCCCCCTCTCGTCTTGCCTTCACACTTTCCCAACATCAGGGGCTTTTCCAGGGAGTCTTCTCTTCTCATGAGATGGCCAAAGTACTGGAGCCTCTGCTTCAGGATCTGTCCTTCCAGTGACCACTCAGAGTTGATTTCCTTTAGAATAGGTTTGTTCTCCTTGCAGTCCAGGGGCCTCTCAAGAGTCTCTTCCAGCACCACAATTCAAAGCATCAATTCTTTGGCAGTCAGCCTTCTTTATGGTCCACCTCTCACTTCCATATATCACTACAAGAAAAACCATAGATTTTACTATGCGGACTTCTGTCGGCAAGGTGATGTCTCTGCTTTTTAAGATGCTGTCTAGGTTTGTTATTGCTTTCCTCCCAAGAACAGGCGTCTTTTAATTTCGTCGCTGCTATCCCCATCTGTAGTGATCATGGAGCCCAAGAAAGTAAAGTCTGTCACTGCCTCCATATCTTCCCCTTCTATTTGCCAGGAGGTGATGGGTCCGGTGGCCATGATCTTAGTTTTTTTTTTTTATGTTGAGCTTCAGACCATTTTTTGTGCTCTCCTCTTTCACCGTCATTAATAGGTTCTTTAATTCCTCCTCAGTTTCTGCCATTAGAATGGTATCATCTGCGTATCTGAGGTTGTTGATATTTACGGATTGCAGCTTTGGCGTTGCCGAAGAGGCTTGAGTTATTCAGAGAGCTATGGGCTATGCAGTGCAGGGACACCTAAGACAGACTGGTCATAGTGGAGAGTTCTGACTAAACGCGATCCACCAGGAGCAGGAACTGGCAAGCCACTCCAGTATATTTGCCAAGAAAACTCCATGGTCAGAAACAAAAGGCTAAAAAAATTGACAGTGTACAATTTTTTTCTTCTTCCAAATGTCTTTTTGCTGCTAATTTAAGCTTTTGCACTTTAATTTTCACATTGCTTAGAATTAATCTAATTGAGTGCAAGTTGAATGACGTCCAACAGTTGTGCTGTCTTCGGATTCTTGCATGAGTTAGATTGCTACTAATTGAAGAGTCCCCACTTCAGTTCTAGGTTACACATGAAGACACCTGACTTGCACACAACGAGATTAAAGAAATGAGGAATCAAAGCAGGGACTCTTTCACATATGTTTGATAAGTTATGTTGGAGGATTGGGGTCTATATTCCTTTAATTATGTTTTCATTTCTGTATGTTTTATTTGTATTTTTTTTTTAATCTGTATCCCCCTGTACCTGTTTTAATCTTCTTGTAAACCACCTTGAGTCCCTGTCCTGGATGAAACGTGGAATATAAGTCAAAGCAATCATAATAATCATAGCAGCTTCAAGGCTTTTTTGTGAATATACACATCATTCCAGAATATGGCTGTTTGCAGTCATTAGGCATTTCTTATCTTGTTTATATTCTTCTATTTTGAAATCTTTCTATCCCACCTCATCTACACATAAGGTATAATAACATTTTAAAGGCACAGTGCATAAAACCCAATGAAAGCAGAAGAGAATACAGATAGATTAATTGGGATTTAACAGCACTGCCCAAAAGCCTTCCTGAAATGATGGGTCTCACAATTTCTCCCTATTGCATTCATTGACTTGCTGCTGTAGCATAGATTTTGCTTGGGAGACTATCCCACACTCTCAGGTAATTGCAGGGATTATATACTTGTAGGTAATTGTATTATGTGGACTCAAACTTTGACTTAACCTCCAAAGGAAATCAAGTTCTGTTACTAGTGGAATTACTGAGAATCCCAGTCATTTCAGCCTTGCACAATTCAGCTTCACTGCAGTTGGACAAATCTCATCTGGGCAATCTTTTAGACAGTGACAAAACAGACAAGAGAAGTGTTTAGACTGAATGTGGCACTTTGAATTCCGCTGAAATTACACATGGGGTCCACATCTTTTCCAATACACCTATTTATCATTCCCTTTGGCAGTGTGCCAAGGTCTCCAACCATTCACATGCAGGCATGTATACACACATGTACACTGACACAGATTTGGAGAGTGCTGTGAACCTTTACGATAGGTCTCTGTTGGTCCTTTGAAGGAATGTTACTGCCAGTGTTTATCTCAGGCTTACTCTTTTCCCCTCCTTCTCCATCCACTTTCCTCTGCCTAGGGCTAGGCAACTCACTGGGGAATGGATTCCATAAGAGATAGTTAAGTGTCTCCATTTCTATGCTAAGCAATAGACAAGGTTCTGATCTTGTAAGAATAGTTCTTACAACAGTTATTGTGATCGCAGTCAAGATCTATGTACCTCTGCCCACTGGTTATTTCAAAGAGTCAAGTGTTGTCTTATTCAGAAAGTTTGAAGTTCCTTATTTTTGAAATTCGTTTAGGCTGAAGGAGAAAAATTAAAAGGGCCTGGAACAAACATAAGTGATGCTCAGTAATTTTTCCCTCTCTTGTTTTTTATGCCACTTCAGAATCAAACCTCTTGGGTCCTTTCCAGCATGGCAGCCCTCTACTGGAGGGTAAAAGGTCAAGGGAAGAAAGCAATTGACTGCCTCCGGCAAGCCTTACATCATACACCCTATCACATGAAGGTGTGTATCTTATATCATCTGCCTTGGACATAAAGTGTCTGCAATTTCCAGCCGTTTATGTGCTATCACTGAATCTTGTGTCTCTAGAACAGCTCTATTTGAATAAATAGCTGAATAACAAAGTGTTGTGGCTGCCCTAAAACTGACTTCTATCATAGCATAAAAAGCAAAAACAAAAGAAATGTTTTTAAAAATAAAGAAGACAGAAATCTTGTGGCACCTTAAATACTAACTGCTCTATTTTAATGTGAGCTTCTGTGTCTCACTCTTATGTCTGAGGAAGTGGACTTGCCCACAAAAGCTCATATTAAAAGATAGCAATTAGTCTTTAAGGTGCCACAATGTTTTTATCTTCTTTAGTTTTAATATTTTTTAATGTTACTTTTGATTCTGCCTGTTATGCCAGCAGAGACTAACATGGCTACCTTTTCTAACACTTTCTATCATAACCCTCTCCGGTCAGCTGCCTCCTACAGTGTCCAGCTGACACTGTCATCAGCCATGCTAGATGGGCATGGTGGTAGTCCAGTACATCTTGGCCTACCAGGTTGGGTAAAATAGCTCTATAAATTCATAGTGTATACAAAAAGGGATAAAAACACATCACTCACAGTACCTGTGGGTGGCATCTCATTAATGTTCTTGGCTATGCCCAGCTGAAATCTGGCCCGGGAGGCCAAAGCACAGCCTGCACTTAGGAGGGATACCATGCCACATAGTTAAACACACGTGTTTGGATCCAAGCCTGTGTGTTATACATTTGCAGCAAACATGACAGGGTTTGTGCTCAATGACTATGGTCCTGTTCCCATAATAAAAGAGAAAGTGAGCTGCAAAGTGTTATGTTAACCTGGAGAAGAACTGAATGTCAAGATAAAAGCCAACCAAATTCTTTCTGCATTTTTCTTTAAAATGGGCACTGCCCATTTGGAATATGTGCCAAGTCATCTCTATTGATTTTAGACAGCTCATGTTCCTGAGGAAGTTAGATGGCTAAGCAAAATAGTAGTAATTTGTGCTGCTTTTCACTTTTTCAGGATGTGCCACTCATAAGCCTAGCAAACATCTTCCACAATGCAAAGCTTTGGAATGATGCCATTGTTGTGGCCACCATGGCGGTAGAAATTGCCCCGCACTTTGTTGTCAATCATTTCACATTGGCAAACGTCTATTTAGCTATGGTGAGTGAATAATCTCTGCATTTTATTTCACATTCTTTTCCAGGTTCCCAAGGCTCCATTGTTACTGATAGGTGATATTTTTACAGAAAGGCAGGATCCACAGCTACAGGTGGAGATAATATAGCAGATCCCCTCTCTCATGATTGATTTGGCTTCATAACAATGGTTATAAAACCAGCCAGTGTTAATCAAATCCTGTTTCCCTATAGGCTTATGGATAAACAGGGATTTTATTCCTGGGAAAATGTTGTGCCTTAAAATTAGCAAATAATTTTCTCTCTTTCAATCACCATTGTCCAGTTCTACCTCTGTTCTTTTTAACCTGCCAAGCCCTGCTCTCCATTCTGGCCTCCACTCTCCTCTCCTGTACAATTGCAGTTTTACCCCCGCCATTATAAATAAACTCAATCATAGTGTTCCTAAAAGAAGACTTGAATGCTACTGGTGGTGCAGAGAGCACTATTAGAACAGTTGCAAAAGTAGGAGATCATGAAGTGAGCCATCATAAGTCGGGAGTCCACTGTAAACAGTAGTGATGTCGGTAGACAGAAAAGTAGAGTCTTTGGTTTTGATTTTTTTTCCAGTTCCAGCTGATTATTGGAAGCTGACTTTGGAGTGGAAGGTGTCTAACTTGATGCACCTTGTCATGCATAACTCCACATGACTCATTGCTTCCTGCAAGAATCCAATACTGTATACTTAGGAACAGTTCTTGTAATTCTCATCTTTCTTTCAAAACCTTTAAGACATTAACGGGTGCTTTTAAAAGCCTCAACAGTCAGCAAACATGGTTGTATTATTTCTATTTACAGAAGGAGGTGCTGACTTGGAAAGAAATTGTGTCAAATCAGTAAGCAAGCAAGCAAGCAAGCCATAAGCTACAGCTAAAAGAAAAGATAAGAAAATATTTAGTTTGTTTATTATTCTGCCAGCTCTGCTGTCATCCAGGGATCATCCAATATTCTGCAGGAGCCACTGACTTAAATCAGAATGGTGACTTGGGAGTGGTAGCTGTCCATAGTCAGCATCCTTTCCCATTCTGTTAGTCAAAATTCCAAATTACAGGACAATTATTTAGACCTAGTATGTTACCATAAAACACTGCAGCCTCCATAAAACACCTGCACACTGTTAACACTGGCTAGAATCCTGTTACCTGCTGGTATACATCCAATGGCAAAAAAAATCTCAGCAGCTAACTGCCACAAGTTAAGATATCAGGGCTTTTATTTATCATTGCATACCTGTTGCATGACTCAGAGCACAAAGTAAAAACAGAGTTTGATTTCTTAATTGGTGGCAATTTGCTGCTGTGAGTCACGTCATTGGACTTAAAGCCAGTGTAAGCAAGTAATGGAATTCTGGATATTGCTTGTGGTTTGTATGTTAACCTCTCATAATACATTATTGTAGGTGAAATGAGCCAATGTATGCAATGAATTCCTTCTCATAAATGAACACTGTGCAATTTCATTTTTCAGTGGCTACTGTAATACAAAAGCCAACAAGTGAATTGAGTCCCATCATTCTTATTTTATGTCCTAGTATAATAACCTGGTTCATGTCTTAGTTCTGCATGAACAAGTATGGGTAAGCCTTGGTTCTTCATAGTAGTCTTTGTGAATGCACACAAATGGGTTAATCCTGCACCTGCGCAGGATGTCCGGAAGATTCTAGAGCTGGAAAAAAGAAACAATTTAGTTTCCCCCCACATGATATAGGCTATGTCCCCTCAACCTTCCTTTCAGTTCCTCTTTTTCTGCCATTCCAGTAGGACATTAGGAAGAACAGAGTGAATTTGCTGCTAGGTATTCTAGCTAGTTATATTAACAGAACTATAGTTTCCAAATCCTGCGAAGTGCTATTTCCCCTCTATTTGGCAGTGTTAGGCCTCACCTTGAGTATTGTGTCTAGTTCTGGACTCCACACTTCAAGAAGAATGCTGACAAATTGGAACAAGTTCAGAAGAGGGTGACAAGGATGACCAGGGGGCTGGAGACTAAGCCCTATGAGGAAAGAATTGGGCATGTTTAGCCTTGAGAAAAGAAGACAGAGAGGTGATATGATAACACTTTTCAAATACTTGAAAGTGTGTCATACAAAAGAGGGGCAGGATCAGTTCTCAGTCATCCCAGAATGCAAGACTCAACAATGGGCTCAAGTTACAGGAAGCCAGATTTGAAATGAATATTCAGAAAATCCTCCTGACCGTTAGAGCAGTAAGACAGTGGAACCAATTACCTTGAGAGATGGTGAGTGCTCCAACACTGGAGACATTCAAAAAGAACTTAGACAACCACCTGGCAGATATTCTTTGATTTGTATTCCTGCATGAAGCATGGGGTAGGACTTGATGGCCTTATAAGCCCCTTCCAACATCACTATTCTATGGTTCTAAATAGATTACAATCCACACAGGCTTGTGTTGAAATAAATCTGTTTAATTTCTGTTGTCACATAATATACAAAGGTAAGCTTCAGTTTCTGTGGTACATGGCAAAATGGCAGCTTCCTAGCATGTCATCAAAGAAGACAGGAAGGAGATGCAGCATCTCTTCCTCTGGGAAGGTCCTTCTTGTGCCACACTATGGCACTTGCAATTTTGGAGTTTGTCCCCAACATCTTGGACCTCAGAGCAAGGCATTACTGAAATAGCCACCAGAGAAGGAGCCATGCTGTGGAGGCAGTGCAGAACAGCAAGAAGGCTGGGGCAGGGGTCCGTAGGGGGTGCCCTTCCACCGTTCCTGCTGCTGCACCACCTGACACAACCATTTCACCAGGGTTAATGCCAGGGTTGGTACTGTCTACCACTCTCATCACCTCCAGCCTGCTTTTGTTTACATAATGACAAACAATGGTTTGTTTCAACTCGGGAATATGAATATCCAGTCTCCTACTCTGGTATATTCTGGAGGATGGCAGCAAAACAATAGTTATGCTTAAAGAGCCTCATTCCCTCTCTACTAAAGTGTAATGATAATAATGATTGTTCCTCCATCAAGTCAATTTTGACTTATGGCAAACCTTCTCAGGGTTTTCTAGGTAGAGAGTACTCAGAAGTGGTTTACCATTCTGTTCTAGATTAGTATTCTTGCCGAGCCAGATCTACAGTACTAGTAAAAGCACAACTTGCAATTATATAACATAATAATATTATAATAATCTGCCATCAAATCATTTCTGACTTATGACAGTCCTCCCAGGATTTTCTAGTTTAAACTGGTTAGAAGTGACTTACGAGTCCCTCTTGCTGGTGGTGCTCTGAGGCCGTGTAACTCGCCTAGGGCTTCTCAGGTGGGAGGGTACATAACCTCATTAGCTAGACATACTTAAGATGACCTTGGTTGGACCTTTTCCATGGAGGGATTTGAACTCCTGACTCCAGCTCTGCAGTCGCTGTACCAGCTCTACATCCTCCATTATTATGGACTAAGTGCTTCTATAATGAGCGAAGTATAATCTCAGTGCTTTGAACAGTTCAGCTGACTTGTATTTGTTTCTGATGCACTGCTGCAGCACAACTTTGTAACAGTACAAATCCATACAATTTCCTGGGAAAAAACCACATGGAATTTTTAACAAGAGTGTTGAAAATAAATTGAACACAGTGGCCAGTTCTTGTTATTGGACCCACTAACTGCTCAATATAAGAGTCAGAAGGCAAGATTGTAGCCTGAGATTCAGTAGTATAGTTCTGCATAGTACCTGTTCAGTGTACACTGTGCTACACCCTATGTTATTTCAACCACTTACTATGTTACATTGTGATTCCTACAGGAGGAGTTTGAGAAAGCCATGATATGGTATGAATCAACACTGAAACTCCAGCCTGAATTTGCACCAGCAAAGAATCGAATCCGTGCCATTCAGTGCCATTTACTCATGAAAAAAGAAAGACATTCTCCTTAAGGATCACAGCCTTCTCCCTTTTTTCCTGATTTATTTCATCCTAAAGCAATGAAATCATTTTTCACTATTATGCTTGTAATGAGGTGTGGTAATATAAATGGGGAATCCATGATTTCCACTAAGGATTGGGGGGTTCTTTTTATTATTCAGAAACCAAAAGTCTCTTTGGGGGGGGGAGTGTTACAGAAAACAGAAACTTGCATTCATCTGTATAATAAGATTGTGATCCCCAGAACATGCCCTACTACATACCTGTGACCCCAAACACTTAGATTTTCCATATTACTCAATTTGATGCCAGCATAGAATGTAACCTGCTTCTTGTCTTAGCATATCTATGAAAATGCAAAGCACATCATTGCACCAGACACTGTACGTAGCAAGAAGCCATAATTAGCTTTTCATTCATCAGGAACTCATGTTCTACCACCTCACTTAGACCATTTTGCAGCATTATGAGCTCGGCAGTAGCTTATGAGATAAGAATGCAGGTGGTTGTAGACCGTTTTGAATGTGTCTTAACAAGACAAAGCCATTTTATTTACTGTTGATTCCACAAGGAATGAGTGGAAAGAAATTGTGGGAAACTATATCCCATGTGAAATCAACGTATTTGGGCTACAGGAAGAAAAGGAAGACAAAACAAAATGTTACTTCAGAGATTTTATATCTATATACAGTATATCTGACATCCTCTGCAGCCCTTTGCCAGTCTTTATTAACAATTTTTTTACCAACTGAATGTAAGATGGTGAAAATGTTAAAGACATGTGCAGACATGTTCTTTCTCTGTGTGTGTCGATGAATGCTAGAAGACGTAGGAGGAATTTAGCAAATATGACAAATGGTTTGTTTCCAAATCAGCATCCACCCAGGTCAGTAAAGGAACCTGAATCAAATCAACAAGGGCACGTAACCTGGAACAAAAATAAACAGTTACGTTAATGAATGGTATGTGGGTGCTTTTGTTTAAAAAAACAGTCATGTCTTTATTTCATGAGGTACCGGAAACATTTTCAAAAGGCTGCTTTATTAACAAGTTATAGTGATGGTACAACAGAGGCCAGGTGCCGTTTAGAGACATGGGGGGGGGGGATTTGTGTTCCACATGACTCCTGCTCTGCTGGTCTGCTTTATGCATTGTGACAAAGTGGGGCGGAGCTTATGGATCTACCCTAATATCCCCTGCAGCTCTTCTCCATATATTCACAGCAGGGGAAGGTCTAAATGGGCAAGTTTGCTCTAATTGCCCAGGCTTTCCCTGTGATTTAGAACTCTGTAGAATTTTACATGGCTAAATAAACATCTGGAATCCAGTGATAAGGAAGCAAGTTGGGTGGGATGATTTGGAGCAGAAAAACAGCTGGCAAAAATTTTCCTCTGGTTTGTGGCTACTGTTGATTCGCTATAGTGGAGTGTTTAGAGTTTTGCATTGAGATTTGAAAGATTCTGGTTCATGTCCCCCTGGAGCCATGGAAGTCACTAGGTGACCTTGGGCCAGTTGCTCTCTCACAACCTCACTAATCTCACCTGGTGGTTGGTGTGAGAGTAAGGGGAGGATAAAATAATGTACATTGCCCTGAGCTCACTAGAGGAAAGGCAGGATAGAAATGTAGCAAATAGCAACAGGAAACTCTAGTTGTAGGGCCCCTTTTGTCAGCTTCTATAGCTCCGGTAGCCCTCCCAATGTTTTGAACTGCAACTCCCCATCAGTCCAGACAGTACAGCCAATGATGAAGGATCATGAGAGTTATGGCTGAACGTGAGAGGGAAGGGGCTTTCTTCCCTCTCCATTCTTTGACTGTGTAGGAGAATTTCTCTCTTATCTTCTAGCACAGTGGTTTCGAACTGTGGCCCTCCAGATGTTCTTGGACTTCAACTCCCAGAAGCCTTCACCACCACCTCTGCTGGCCAGGATTTCTGGGAGTTGAAGGCCAAGAACATCTGGAGGGCCACAGTTCGACACCACTGTTCTAGCAGTTGTACTTGGTAGGTGGAAAAGAAAAAGCAAAGGGACAAAGCAGAAAAGATGAAAGGTCATTGCTACTGGATTCTTCCAATGGTCCTCGCTGCCTGTAGTGAGATAGGAAAACCATTTCGAAGTGGAGATGCCATGCTATTTCCAAGCACTTCTCCAAAATGAAAATAAAGAGTTTGCATAATAAGATTATTTTGGGTGTATTCACCCCATTCCTCCCTGTTTTGAATGAAAGCAGAATGTTGAAACGGTGGTCTAACTTAGGAATTGGCACTCTGGCCATGCACCGCTGCAGAATGGAGATGCCTGGAAAGGAGCTCACTATGTGATTCTTTTGAGAGACAAGTTGTGGAAAACATTTGTGCTTTAACTCGCCTTGTGACACCAACTTTCTATTTTATTATTCATTTATTATGTTTTTGTTCCACTTTTCCACATGCAAGACTCAAGGCAGCTGACATTACCAAACACAAATAAGCCCTTTAACATAAGTATGAAAACAAAGTAAATGATAAAACAATTAGAATCAATAAACATCAGAATAGTTTAAAAGGCCAGTATGAAGAGATGGGTCTTCACTGTCTTCCAAAAAAGGACTAAGATCTGACTGTGAATCTCTGGGAGTGTGTCCTATGTTCTAGGAGCAACACATGAGGAGCTTTGCTGTGTGCCCATCAAATTGGTTTTTTCAGGTGCTTGTGCCCACAAGAGGGCCTTTCCTGAAGATCTTATCATTCAGACAGGTTTATAACAAGACAGGCTGTCTGTCCTCTGCCTCTTCCATAATAATATATTTTGAACTAACCTTCCATATATCAGGCATAGGACAAAGACAGATAAGAATCTACTAATACAGCGGGGTCTTGACTTGAGAACTTAATCCGTATTGGAAGGCGGTTCTCAAGTCAAAAAATTCTCAGGTCAAATCTACATTTCCCATAGGAATGCATTAAAAACCATTTGATCCGTATCTGCTCTTTTCCGTCCGTAGAAACTAATGGGAAGCTGCTATTCTGCCTTCGACCTCTAGAGGGGGATATTTTGTTTCTTTTTTTCTTAGGTCAAGAAAGGTTCAGGGAAGGCAGGGAAAATACAGTCCAGGCAGTACAGTACCAGGCAGTCCGAAGACTGTCTCCCAATCCACCCTCTAAACGCTGGGAGGAGTGAGGAAGCAGACAGGCACCCTTTTCACTGGCCAACAGTTAAATGAAAGTTCAAATTTTGCACTTTCCCTGCCTCCCACATGGGTTTTTTTCAGTTCTTAACTCAAATCTAAGTACTTAAGTCAAGTCAATATTTTCCTATGAGAGCGGTTCTTAAGTCAAAATGTTCTTAACTCGAGCCATTCTTAAGTCAAGACCCCACTGTATTGCACTGGGTAATAGGCATCAACTGATGTATGATTTGTATAGCTTGGCAACTATTCACTGAATGATAACAGTTGAAAGCCATTGCAATGGACATATATATATGCAGATCATTCTAGTATATGATTTGCAGCTCACCTCGAAGTCAGGGAGACAATACTTCCCACTACACCAATCACAAGCCTTCTATACGGCTCATTGGGTGCAGTAGCTATATGAAAATACTTGGCTGAAGTCCTGTTGTCAAAAGTTAGTCTGTAAAAGTTACTTATGTGCCATAACTTCCACTACTGGATTTCAGCCACTGAGTAAGATTGGCTCCATGTTTCTGAATGCTTATGGATATCAGATGGTAAACTAATGTATATACAGTACTAGAGATAGGCATGAAGCTCAGTTTGGAGGTTCCTGCCAGGTTGTATGCATGGCACCATAGGTGCTGCACACTCCGCTATCTTCCCCCCCTTCCCCAGCTGGATCCCCTCTCTCCAGCTAGCACACACTCCTTTCTTCCTCTTCTTTGGCTGTTTGACCGGTCTCCAACAGGAGCATGGGCTTCCCTGCCCCACTTCCTTGGCTGATCACCTACTCAGGCAACCCCATATTCCTGCTGGGGATTAGTCGAACACCCAAAGAAGAGGAGGAGACAAGCACATTCTGACTGATGAGTGGATCATTGGCCAGGGAGGCAGGAGAAGGGAACGCACGGCACAAAACCTCCAAATCAAGGTTGATGCCCATCTCTATAAATATGCCACTCAAGAATATAAAGGTGTATTCGCCTGTTTAGGAAAACTAAATTGGCTTGTTTTCCTAGGACACAGATTTGCAACCTGTGGGTCACAACCCCCAAGAGGGTCACAAAATATTTTCTGGGGGGGCTTTGTGGTTTTCAAAGAACATAGCCCTCAACTCATACCCACCCACCCCCCATTTTCCTTCTGCACACACCCTTCCCCCTCGTTTGTAATACACGCAGCCAAGCTCTCTGGAATACATGGGCCCCTTGACCGTACACTCTCCTTCTCTAGTGGCACCAGCAGCTCCTCCTAAGCTCTGGTGGCTACCTGGCTGATTTCAGGTGGGGGACTGGGATGGGGAGGAGTGGGAGCCCCTGTGAGCCAGGCTGGCTGCAGTGAAGACTGAGAGGTGAGGAAACAGTGGCAGGCTTGAGGTGGAGAAGGAGAAATGGTGTCTCAGCCACACACTGCCACAGCGGTTACCATTTTAGGGAGAATGGCTAAGAAGAATGCAGAGTCACTACTTGAAGGGAGGACGAAAAGGGTAACAATTCCCTTACTGAGGGAAAACTTGCCCTCCACTAATAAAACCCAGGTTTAACCCTTCCTCATTACCTCCTCCTCGGAGCCCATTAAGGGACTGTGGCAGGGGGAAGAAAGTGTTTAACAAACACTCAGCCGTGAGTTTGAAGCTGGTTGCCCAGTTGAAAGTACCTCCATTGCATTAAATATTAGGGTAGAATTATACTCTTAAAAATCGGTTTTCTTTTAAAATGCCTTTTTATGCAAATATGGCAAGGGGTTGCAGGTTACCTGGCTATTATAAAAAGGGGGCATGGCTCAGAAAAGGTTGGGAAACACTGTTCTAGGACGTTCTTATCAGATCTAATAAAGGACTCATTAAAAAGCAGATGCCTCTTTTTTCTATCTTATCATACATAAAGAATAACTTGATTTCCCCAATGCATTTATTTTATTTTTACAGCTGATTTTCTTACTTGGGTGCCCAACAATGTGTGAAGTCAGTTTGTACTCCAATTCTGAATATTCTGACCAGCCCATAATGTGCCAACTCATGATAGCAGTCTGACTGTCAATGGTACCATTCCATAGAAGATATAATTTTTTAATTGGCAGAAGCTCAACACAACTTGGGATGGATTTATATTGAATGTTTTTCCACTTCCCAGGGGCCTGTGAACAGTTTGTCAGTGAAAAGATGATCCCAATTGTCCATAACCCGAGGATGCAGAGCCAACTACCTCCAAGACCTAACATTAGAAACAATCATCCAAATGAATAATTATTTTTCACTATTTGAACAAAATCCTTTTGAGCAAAGAAACTATTTTGGTTGGATGATTAATTTCTTCGGTCTCAAAAACTGAGAGATAATTCGATAAAAACAGATAGAAGAAATAAGCATGCAAAGAAATAGTCAAGAGGCCTGAAAATAAAGCAGCTTAACAGCAACCCAACCGAAGGCCCTACCTGTGCAAGCATTTCAGCAAATCAAATACTGTAGTCCATCAACTCCTCATTTATTGCAGATCTGACATCACCATAGGAAATCAGAAGCTAAAGGTGAAAGAAACATTACAGGACCATTAAGAGAATTGGAAAAAGCTATTTCACCTGCAAAAATGCAAGGCAGCAGCTGGATTGTATCTACTGTACTCATAGGCATCCTTCAGTCTCGAGAGACTATGGTATCGTGCTCTGTATGGAGGACTTGGAACAGCGTCTAGTGTGGCTGAGGAGGCCAATTCGAGAGGGACAATCCCTTCCACACTTAGGACAAATACAATCTGTACCCCATCTAGCTCCCTGATTTTGCTGCTTTCGTGACTGCCTCTTTGC